ATTAAATAATTTGCCCAACCCACATGAATAATGAAGAGCTTAGGTCTCAAGTCAGAGGGATTTCCTTTATGCCAGGCTGTGTCTCCCAGGCATGGCTGGCCTTGTACATCGCACTTTATCCTCTTTTAATGTGTCTTGAGTACCTTATATGGCTGGGTCATTGCTGAGCTGGGGAGAGTAGGAAATGTGTTTGTTGACAGAAACCCATCTCTTCCCAACCACTGGTGGGACCATATGCTGCAGCCAGTGAGGCAGCAGAATGTTCTTGTTCATGTTCACCTTGTTCTTGTTCACCTCACTCTCCCAGGAGGGGATAGGAAAAGGAGGACAAAACTGGGAGAGGAACAGAAAACAGCTACTAGCACAGTTGCTAGATTTAGCAAATTAAAATACAACATACCTAGTTAAATTTTAATTTCCAAGAATTTTTTTTAAAGCACAATTATGTCCCATGCATAATTTAGGACATATTTACACTAAAATATTGTACAGTTCCTATCTGAAATTCTAATTTAACTGGGGCTATATGAAATTTATTTACCAACACTAGTTGTTGTTGGTTGTTGTTATTGTTGTTAAGTGACGTCGAGTCGTAGGAGACTCAGCGACCCTATGAATGAAAGACCTGAACACTTGTTTAACTTTCATCCTATCTCCAGGTTCATAGGATTTCCAGAGGCAAGCTATTTAGAAATGGGTGCCACACCTGTTTCACTAGAGAGGGGCCAAAAAGTCAAAGATTAACCAATGGACTCCAGGAAGGATGGTGGTGGGTTCGAATCCATGAGCTGTTCCACAGGAGAAATGTTATTTCCTACCATATGATTTACAACCTCTGAAAATCTGCAAAAGGATATGAGTAAGTTCTGACTGGATGGCACCGAGTGATTGAGCTGAGTCTCTTATTTAATTTTTAAATAAAAAAAATTGGTGAGGGCTATGAGGCAGGGACAGAGTAATCCACTAAATGTGTAGAAAGTAAGCATACTGTACAGAAAGTGAGATACACAGGAGCTTAATTGTGTTTACTTATTTACTCGTTTGTAGTAAATAATTCCTCCTGTGTTCATCACTTCTTTGCTTTTTAACCCAGTGAAACTGTTGAGGGTCCCCGCTATAAGGACTGGAGAGAACTGCACACGGAGGCAAAGGGTAAGGCAATAGAGGGGCCCCTTTGTCAGAGGGAGACGTTTGGACTTGTCATGGCACTAAAGGAAGCACAGGGGAGAGTGTTTCGGGTAACCTTGGTCTGAGCCAGAGGGCGAGACGGTGGGAGCATGTGGGCACTGGGAACTGGATCTGCAGACCCGAAGGAGGGTGGTCAGCAAAGGCAAGGTCTGAGAGCTTTAGAATACAAGAGTTAGGTACCGTAAGGGCTGTAGGACTTACAGTGCGGATTCTCTGTAAAAATCCGGCGAGCTACAAGCAGAAATGTAGACAGCGCAAAGAGGGACCCAAGGGAAGCGAAGCCTCGGAACCCGACGTTTCGCAAACAGCTTAGGGACAGGAGGCGCTAGGACCCGGCGCCGCAGGGAGAGCGGAAGTGCCGCGGCGGACGGCTCGGGGCGGCGGGCGGCGGGCGGCGGCGGCCTTCAGGTGAGGAGAGCGCCAGGCCGGGGCGGGCCGGGGAGCTGGGGCCTGGAAGCTTGGTCTCCCCAGGAGGGGGTACTCGTGGGAGGGGTGGGCGCGGGCCTGCGGGTGTCCTGGAGCAGCTCTGCTCTGCGTCGGGATGAGATGGCGGAGAAGAGGGACGAGGAGGATGGGGGGGGAGGGGGGAGATGGGGGAACGGGCTTCGGTGAGGGTCTGGCCAGGTCCCCCCAACTCCCCATCCCGGCGCAGCAGTCAGGGGCTGTGTGTGCGAGAGGCCGTTACCATAGACCCTGAGATGGGGTTCATTTCTGACTCTGCCGTTCGACTTTGCTGGCCCCAAGTTAGAGATGTCGCCACTCCCGTTCTACTTTCCTCGCCTGGAGGAGCCAGACCCTTCACATCTATCCACCTACACCCCATCCTTTCCCCACTCCCTGAGTGAGGCCGGGGCCTCGGGCGGGGAGGGGAGCGAGCTCGGGTTTGGGGGCGCCAGCCTTGTTTCCGCACTTGGCCCCGTGACCCTCACGTGCCTCTCAACTCTGGGCTCTTCCTTCAGGCACGGGGCTGAACTGGATCCTTGCACACTTCTTCCATTTTTTACTGAGACTGCCCTTGCTCAGAGCTCACTTTTAGGTGATCCCAAGTGCTTGAACCAGGCTTATTTTCCATTGCCTTCCGCAGAAGTTTTTAACCTAGGGCATAGGCTCTGGGAGAGTCCATAGTTTTTGTTTTCTTTTGGATCAGATTCTAAGGCAGTGCTGTCCAACCGAAATACGTTGCCAACCACACATGTGATTTTAGAAAGAAAACAAAACCGGTGAAATTTGTAATCTGTTTTACCCAATATAAACAAACTCTGATCATTTTAGGAAGTTCGGGTAAAGAGTTGTGCTGCCACCTAAAAAAACACAGGGTTCGAATTCACCAGCTGCAGTCTCCTTCCTAGGGTGTGGCTGCCTCTGAAAACTAGAGTCAGCTATGAGCCAGTCCCACTCGACAGTATATAACAACAGGATCATTTTAACCAATAATCAGTATTAAAAATTATAAACTATATTAGTAAATTCTTGTCCCAGATCTTTGAAATTAGCAACTTTAGTGGCCTACTAAGGAGCTGCACTGGCAACTCAAAGGCAAGCAGTTCAAATCCACTAGCTGCTCTGTGGCAGAAAGATGGACAATCTCCTCCTGTGCATCTTAACTGCCTCTGAAAACCTGCTGGAGGGTCAGCTATGGGTTGGTTCAGATGCCAAGGTCCATAAAAACAACAATTTTACATTTACAGTACTATGATCATTTTAGTTTATTCCTAAGAATTGTGCATGAGATTAGTACATTCTTGAGCTAAGTCTTTGGGAAACCGGAGCTTGGGTGGCTTGGAGGGTAGGAGTTGCACTGCTAACCCAAAGGCAGGCAGTTTATTATCCACTCACTGCTCTATGGGAGAAAGATGGGCAGTCTTGTCTCATGTAATTTATAGTGTCTCAACACCCACTGCAGCAGGGTCAGTAATGAGTTGGTTCCCATTCTACATCAGTGAGTTGAGTTCTTTACAGTACATTTCATCAAGTAACATTTCAAGTCTTTAGTAGCCACATATAGCTAGCTAGATTGAATGGTTAGAGAGTTCATTTCTGGCCTAAAGCCCCTAAGCCACATCTCTTGCCTTATTAGTGTTTTTCATATTCTGGCTTCTGACTTCCTTTTTCCCCATAACATGTTTCTGCTTAAACTATCCCTTTTACTTGAAACACTATCCTTCTGACCCCGTCCCACCCCGGCCTGGTAAGGAGGTATAGCTTCTCCTAAGAAGCTTTTCCAGATATCCCTGACCCAGGAAAGAATGCTTCACTCCTTCCTCACAGCTTTCTAGTATTGTATTTGTGGCTGTATTAGAGCCATTATCACAAGGTGTTTTTGTGATTGTCTCCTAGGGTGGTATCATATGTCATTCATCTTTCCTGTGATCTTGGCTGGCACCTTGTAGATGTTCAGTGGATGTTTACAGACCAAATGAGTCAATGGCAAAACAACTGTACTCAGTCTCTTAGCTCCCTAAGGAACTTGATACTGTTTTAAGAGATGCAGGCTTGCGTGTCTTCCCATCCTTCCAAGTAGTAAAGCACACATGTATCAGATATGGTAACTAATGATGAAGAATGAATCCCAAGAGGTACTCTGAAATATCTTTTACTTTTTCTCCATTCCCGTGTTAGGAAATTTGCATCAATTTAAGTAGAGTCACTTTTGAGAACCTGAGGATGCCTTTCCTGGAAACCCAGTAGGAACTCACAGCTGGATAAAAATTTCAAGAGCAAAATGAGTCCTCTCACATGGGAGGGAACAGAAGAGAAAAAGTAGGGTATATGAAGAGAGCTGGGAAAACCTGCAGAAAGAGCAATGCCAGTCTTTTGGCAGAATGGGAAATTAGAAAAAAGCAGACGTTCCAGGAAAGCAAGCAACTCGCCCAAGGTCACATAGCACTGTAAGCCCAAATGTGGTATCCTAGGTCCTCACTTCTGTAATTCCCCAGCTCTACCCACACTTCTGTTGCAACCAGGGGTCCCAGTATGGTGCCTAGGAGAGCAGGTTCAGGGCACAGTGCCAGGCCTGATTAATGTCTTCCTTACCATCTTTCAGTGAAGAGTTGTGATTAGGCCTATTTATAGGGGCACTGTGCCTTAATATTCTGCCTGGCGCGTCTCTTGCCAATCAAATCAGTGCCGTCTGCAGTGTGATTGCTGCTTTAGTGGCACCAGGGAGCGGAGTTAATTAAACCCAGTATAAATAGACTCTGCCCTCCCCGTGCAATTCGAAAGAGTGTTTTTTCCTTCCTGTTCCCAGCCCCCACATACCCCTCCTTCCTCCTGAGCCCCATTAGCTCTAGCCTGGTGAGCAGAACCTAGACACTCATATACTCTGTGTTTAGAAACAGTAGCCACAGCCTGGCCTAGCCTCACTCAAGAATAGGCCCTGAGTTCCTCAGGGGTCAAAGTAGCAACAACCCAAGAATCCATATTTCCTGTGCTTTTCTATCCTGGCATACCATTTGACTTGGGCAATTTCTTCCCTAAATCCATCCTTTCATTCTGGCCAGGATTTCTTTCTTAATTACTTAAGTGTGGAAGATTAAAATTAAGTGATCTATGAAAAGCATGCGTAATAGTAGGTCCTAGACACCTCCTAGGGATACTTTCATCATCCTCCTTCATTCAGCATGCATTAACTGAACATCTTTTGTAAGATTATGCCTCTCATCAAATGCTCTTCTCTACCTTCCACCTGCAGAGGCTGAAACTGGCAGAGGGTTGGAGTAAGAGGCAGGGAGGGGCTGTGCTCTGTTCCAGCTTCTGCTCTGGGATGAGTGAGTGGGGGACAGTCTTGACACTCTGGTTCCCACTTACAGGCAACATGACTCCTGTGAGGACCCAGCACTCCTTGGTGGGCCAAACTTATTCAGTGCCTCTAATCCAGCCAGACCTGCGGCGTGAAGAGGCTATCCAGCAGGTGGCAGATGCCCTGCAGTACCTGCAGAAAGTCTCTGGAGACATCTTTAGTAGGTGAGTACTCCCATCCACCTCTACCTGATCAGAAAACTACCCTTGTCCTAGGTAGCTCTCTTTCCAGTCTTAGGAATGTATCCTTCTAAAGCAGCAATTCAGTGATTCTTGGTCCTAGGGGTACCCAGCTGGTTTCTGTGTACCCTGGGAGCTCAAAGAAGGAGCCAGTTTGGAAAATGCCTGAGAGTTCACACTGTCCCATGTAGCCACTTATCTCTCAACTCATGCTCTTCCTCCCAACAGATGTACCTGTCTTTTCATTTATTCTTTAGTTAACACATTTGCACCGGAGAGAGCAAGGCTCAGATCTGTTGTTCATCGAATTGTAGTTGACTTGATGGCACCTAACAACAGCAACAGAAAAACACTCCTTAACAAATATTTCTTGAATACGTTTTTCTTTACATACACAGTGCTAATCTCAGCGAAGGACACAGTTCATGCTCAGTTAGAGTCTATACTTTAGCGGAAGAGCTAGGCTTTAAATAATCAACTTTTAAATTAATAATTTAATTACTATTTTGAAGTTTTAAGACTTTTCATATCTTTGTAATACTTTTATAATAACTGATATTTATGTAGCCTAGTAGTAAGAAGCTACACTGCAGTCCCAAAGGTATAAGTTTCAAATCCACCAGCTGCTCCATAGGAAGAAGATAGGCAGTTTCCTCTCATGCAGTTTACTGCCTCTGTAAACCCACTGGAGGCTCAGCTATGAGTCAGTTCCAACTCAGAGGCACACAATAACACAGTATTTATATAGCATTAATCATGTGCCACTGTTGATTTGAATGCTTTACATACTAACTTAATCCTCACAATAACTTTATAAGGATATCTATTAGTGTTATCTTTTTTCCTATACATTAAAAAAACTGAGGCACAGAAAGACCAAGAGACTTGCCCAAGTGGGAGAGCCATGGTTCAAACCTAGGTCTTGTGTTAGAGAGCTCCTCTGTGATGGGGTCGTAAGAAGTTGTGAGAATGATAATGGAAGGACTGATGTGATATGAGAGATGAGGAATGGCGTGGCATATTTTCATATAGAACATCCACACAAATAAGATACCTATGCATATAATGTGCATATCGTGCTAATGAGAAACCTAGACTTGGACCAGGAGGCAGTCGTCAGAACAGAGCAAGGAAACATGGTTCAGAGCAAAGGAGCATGGTGAAATTGGGAAGGGTGTACGCCAGGGATGTGTCCTGTCTCCATACCTTTTCACCCTGTATGCAGAATAGATTATCCGGGAGGCTGGGCTCTATGAGGATAAGTGTGGGGTCAAGATTGGGGAAACATGGTTCAGAGCAAAGGAGCATGGTGAAATTGGGAAGGGTGTACGCCAGGGATGTGTCCTGTCTCCATACCTTTTCAACCTGTATGCAGAATAGATTATCCGGGAGGCTGGGCTCTATGAGGATAAGTGTGGGGTCAAGATTGGTGAAAGATCTGTCAACAATCTGTGTTATGCAGATGACACAACTTTGCTTGCTGAAACAGAGGAGAACCTGAAACGCTGCAGAAGGTCAAGGACTACAGCCTCCAATATGGATTGAGGCTCAATGTCAAGAAGATAAAGATTCTCACCACTGGACCAATTGGTAGTATCAGGATGGATGGTGAAGAGACCGAGATTGTTCACAGCTTTAGTTTGCTTGGCTCCACAGTCAACACTCTTGGCTCCAGCAACCAGAAAATTAAAAGACATATTGCCATGGGAAAATCTGCTGTCAGGGACCTCTCCAAAGTACTGAAGAGCAGTGGTGTCTCTCTGGAGACTAAGGTGCGTCTGATACAGGTTGTGGTCTTTGCAGTCACTTGCTATGCATCAGAGAGTTGGACAATGACTAAGGAGGATAGAAGGAAAATTGATGCCTTTGAGCTTTGGTGCTGGAGAAGAGTATTGAGGGTACCATGGACTGCTAGGAAAACAAACAGGTTTGTCCTAGAAAGGGTTAGACCAGGCGGCTCCTTGGAGGCAAGGATTCTGAGGCTCCATCTCACATACTTTGGACATGTTGTAAGGAGGGACCAGTCCTTGGAGAAGGACATCATGCTTGGGAGGGTGGAGGGACAGCACAGGAGGGGAAGGCCCTCTATGAGGTGGATTGATTCAGTGACTGGGGTAATTGGGATGGGTGTGTCAGAGACAGTGCGATTGTCACAGGACAGAGCAGAGGTTAGGGCTGTTGTACATAGGGTCGCTGTGAGTCTCGAGCGACTCGACGGCACATAACAAGAACAACAATATTTGCTTAAAAATACAGATTATGCACATCCAAAAACTTCTCCAACAGGGTAAAAAGGGAAGCCACAGACTGGGAAAAAGTGTTTGGTAATGACATGTCAGATAAGGGACTTATATCTAGAATTTATAAAATACTTGAGCACCACAAGATAAAGGTAAATAATCCAATTGAAAAATGGGCACAGGATATGAATAGACACTTCACCAAAGAAGATATTCAGATGGCCAACAAGCATATGAAGAAATGTTCAAAATCCCTAGCTCTAAGAGAGATGCAAATCAAAACAACTATGAAATATCATCTCACCCCAGTCAGAATAGCAAAATTTAACAGAACAGCAAGCAACAAATGCTGGCGAGGTTGTGGAGAAACTGGAACCCTTATTCACTATTGGTGGGAATGTAAAATGGTGCAACCACTGTGGAAGGCGGTATGGTGCTTTCTCAAAAAGTTGCAAATAGAGATACCATTTGACCCAGCAATTCCACTACTGGGAATATATTCCAAATATGCACACCCATGTTTATCGCAGCTCTGTTCACAATAGCAAGGAGTTGGAAACAACCCAGGTGCCCATCAACAAACGAATGGATAGAGAAGCTGTGGTATATTCACACAATGGAATACTATGCTGCATTGAAAAACAAGGAACTCATTCAATATTATTCAAAATGGGTGAGCCTGGAGGACATTATGCTGAGTGAAATATCTCAGTTGTAAAAGGACAAATATTGTATGGTGCCACTGCTGTAAAATGGGACTGATATCAGGGTGGGGGTAGGACTGAGAAGAACTGGATAAATTGTGTATACTGCACTGAAACAGATGAGGGACTGAATAATTTAAAAGCAATGTATGATAGGGTATTATGGTTATCACAAGAGTCCACAATTAAGGTTGCATAGTGGAATGTACTTGGGGCTGTGGGAGGGGTGCGGGGGGATTGTGTACCAGGGAGGGAGTCTTTCTTTTACTTTTGAAAGAGAGGAGCGAACTGGGGGGCAGGGGGAGAGGGCTGGGCGGGTAGAGAAGTGCAGCAATGAATGAATGGAAATCCAAATTCTCTGTAAATGTTCATTAAAATTATTTTTAAAAAATACAGATTATATAGAAGTGACAGTTATAATAAGTGAGTGAGTAGAATTTATTGTGGATGGGTACATGGGAAAGAATGATATTCTGAGAAGAAAGAAGGGCAGGAGCTAAAGCCCTGAGGTGAGGAGTATCTGAATGGAAACCAGTGACTGGAACAAGGAGAGTGAGTCAGGGGGCATGCTCACCAGGCTAGTGGTGTGGGCAGAACCTTTGAGGTTTTGTTTTTTTTAATCTCCAGTACTTGATGCCTTTGAGTTGTGGTGCTAGAGAAGAGTCTTGAACAAACCATGTAACACCAAGAAAACAATTAAGTCTGTTTTGGAGAGGGTGAACCAAATTTCTCCTTGGAGGCAAGGATTTTGAAGCTCCATCTCATAAACTTTGGGCACATGACCAGAAGGGACCATCCTTGGAGAAGGAAATCATGCTTGGAAGGGTGGAGGGACAACACAGAGATGGATTGATAGAGTAACTGTGGCAACAGGCAGGGGTAGGTGTGTCCAAGTCAGTGAGACTGGCTCAGGACAGGACAGGCTTCAAAGCTGTTGTACCTAAGGTCGCTATGAGTCGCAGGTGACTCGGTGGCAAATAACAACAAAATCAATAGTACTTAGCGTGATTATTGCACTATAATGATTTCCTGTTTATTTAACATGGATGGATGGTGTTTGGGTCCCTGATTTGCATCCTGTATATTGGTCTTGTCTTTCTTTGGCTATAATCATCCTGAGGTGAGGCTTGGGTCTTCTTCCCAACATAGGGGCCTGGGGATCCCACCCTGCATGAAGTATTTGACTTCTGACTCAGCTCCTCTGGTAGTCTTAAGTAATTCATCACCCTTCCTTCAGTGGTATTCCAGATCTAGAACCCCCTACTTCTTTACCAAGTCATCTCATTCTTCCCAGGTTGGAAGTCTGCCTCTCCACTGAACCAATGCCAGACAGATACGATCCTTGTCTCTGCCTTTGTCCTGACCACTGAAACACCTGTCTGCCAAGCCCATCCTGACTGTAATTGAAATGAGAGGCAGTGCATGCAGTGGTTAAGAGTGCTATCTCTGGAGCAGATGACTTGGATTCATATCTGGTTCTCTAATATGTTTGGTGTGCAGCCTTGATCAAGGTAACTTAGTATCTCTAAATCTCAGTGTTCTCATCTGTAATAATGCAATAATTATAGAACTTTCTTTACAGAACTTTTTTAAGAATTAGGCAAATTAAAAGATGGGAAGGAATGACTACATGTACCAAGATGCTGGACACATAGTGAGCATACATTATTAGCTCTTGTTTTCTGCTGATACCGTCTTGACTCAAATACTGATTCTGATAGCCACCTGTCAACCTGATTTTAAGAGCTAACATGTTTCTGTGCTTATTTGTGTACTCAATTCAGAGTTTTCAGAAGTATCCATCCCGTGTAACCAGCCCATCAGGAGTTTTCCTCACTGAATTTGTGATTACATTTTCCCAGAGAAGGGTCAGCTTTTGGACAGATTTTCTGGTGTTTCTATCTTACAGGCAGCTTCATGCTCTCTTACTTAGGGATATGACAAAGCAAAGGCAGGGAGGTTGTTTTCTCAGGAGGAGCTAGGTATGGAGAGCTGCTCAGGAGTGCCAGATCTGACTCCTGCACCCTGCACAGCTCAGTTA